TTGTTACTGTCATTAAGTAAAGGTTTATCAGTTTAGGATTGATAAACCTATTTCCAAAAAGGAGTTGTTGGCTTTGTTAAATTAAAAATTAAGAACATGGAACCAATTGCACAAAGGCACTTGAACACAAAAATAGATTTTGTTACAGTTGAGTAATAAGAATATGTTATAGTTTTGTTATCAGTTATATTTTATATTTTTCGATGAAATAAGATTTCATGAATCATATTTCATTGAAGAACATTTCAGTCATTTCTAACAATACAAAGTTGTGTGCGTGTGTGTGTGTGTGTGTGTGTGTGTGTGTGTGTGTGTGTGTGTGTTTTGTTAAAGGAGTACATGATCTTTTCGGAAAAAGATTCAAACAACATAATTGTACCCTTTCCCCTCCTCTCCATCTTCCAGAGGTAGTCACTGGTAACTATTCCTCCTATATCCTTTGAGGTTTTTGTTTCTGGGCACATACATAAGAACATTAATACAACTCTGATTTTTTGTACGAAAACATGTATCAGCAACTTTTTGTTTTCATTCTGTATTATGTAGTATATCCATATTTTTATACTTATAATACACTTCATTCTTTTAAAATACACTTCATTATATGCTTATATATAATATACTTCATTCTTTTAGAAAACTATTGTGTTCTACAGTATATCATAATTTAACTATTCCTCTAGTGGTGGATATTTATATTTTCACTATATTTTTGCTATTATAAATAATGTGTTAAGCATTTTGTACATTAGAGTATAGTGTATGTTACACATCGTGCAACATTTTCTATAGGGAGGTTTCACAAAAGCGTAAATGCGATCAATTTAAACTCCCAGAGCTCACCAAAGTTAGCATAAATCTTCATTTTGTTTTGACATATAACATGTACCATTAATTTCTTTCAAAGGTCCTTAAACTTTCAAACAAATATTTGAAATCTGGTATTTGTTTCTTGATCCAACTAAGGATATAGAAATGAGGTAGTCTATAGGTAAAAGAAGAATTTAAAATGATGTTATTTATTTTGGTTTATGGTCTATTTTATTAGATATGCTCTGAAACTAATTGACTTAAAATACTTTCAGACTTACAGAAAAGTTGCAAGAACAATACAGAGAACTTAACATTTTGTGGAATTTCTCTCTTTATGCCCATTATTTTGGGGAACTATTTGAGAATAGGTTGCATATATCTTGCCCCTTTTACACAGCAGTACTTCAGTGTGTATTTTCTTTATTTTTGTTTTTTATTTTTATTTCTTTTTTTAAATTTTATTTAAATCCAAGCTAGTTAACATATAGTGTGGTAATGGTTTCAGGAGTAGAATTTAGTTATTCATCGCTTACATAGAACACCAGTGCTCATCCCAGTAAGTGTCCTCCTTAATGCCCATCACTCGTTTAGCCCATCTCTCCACCTAACACCCATCCAGCAACCCTCAGTTTGTTCTCTGTATTTAAGTCTCTTGTGGCTCTCTCTGTTTTTATCTTGTTTTTATTTCCCTTCCCCTATGTTCATCTGTTTTGTTTCTTAAATGCCACATATGAGTGAAATCTTTCTCTGACTGATCTATTTAGCTTTGCATAATACACTGTAGTTCCATCCATGCTTTTGCAAATGGCAAGATTTCATTCTTTTTGATCACTGAGTAGTATTCCATTGTATGTAGATACCACATCTTTATCCATTCATCAGTTGATGGACACTTGGGCTCTTTCCATAATGTGGCTATTGTTGATGGTGATGCTACAAACATTGGGGTGCATGTGCCCCTTTGAATCAGTATTTTTGTATCCTTTGGATAACAGTGTGTGTTTTCTAGGAGTATACTTCAGTGTGTATTTCTGTAACCATAGCATGTTTATCAAATATGGGAAATTTAACAGTGATACAGCGTTTTATCTAATTTGTTATCTGTAGTCCGTAATCTAATTTTGGCAACTGTTCCAATGCCTTTTATCACATCTATCGTATTTGTTTTTCTCAGTCCAGGATTTAGTTCAAGATCATTTATTGCATTTAGTTGTCCTGTCTCTTAGACTCCTTTAATTTATAACAATTCCTCAGCCTTTGTCTTTTATGACATTGTCATTCTTTGTGAGTACAGGCTAGTTATTTTATGAAATGTTCTTTAATTTGAATTTCTGATGGGTTGTCAGGATGAGATTCAGGTGATGCATTTCTGATTTGAACATTATACAAGTGTGTTCTCCTTAAGGTATCACATCTGGGGGCTCATAGTGTGCATCTGCCCATTATTAGTAATATTAATTTTGATCATCCTGTCCAGTTGTGGTCTGGCTTCTCCAGTATGGTTAATATTTTTCCCTTTGCAACTAATAAGCTGTTTGTGAAGAGACACTTTGAGATCATGATATATCCAGATCTTCATCATATTCTAGCCCTAGATTTGGCATTTATGGATGATTCTTGCCTGAAGCAATCTTTACTCTGAGAGTTGAAAAATTGTGGTTTTTTTTCTTCCCAATTCTATCACTCCTATTTTAACAGCAGTCTGAGAAATAGCCCTCCCTTTACTCCTATATATATATGTCCTTTTTTTTCTAAGTTTATTTACTATCTTGAGAGAGAGGGCTCACGTGGAAGGAGTTAGGGGTGCAGGGAGAAAGAGGGAGAGAGAGAATCCCAACCAAGCAGGCTCTGTGCTCTGAGTGCAAAGCCCAGCATAGGTCTGGATTTCATGAACTGTGAAATCATGACCTGAGCTGAAATCAAGCGTTGGACACTTAACCGACTGAGCCACCCAGGTTCCCCTGTCATTTATACTGTCAGTTTGGACCCATGGATTCTTATTTTATAAAGTGTCATGACCCTTTATAGAACGTATTTATTTTGCTGTTCAAATTGTTCCATATTTGGTTAGTGGGAGCACTTCCTTTCTTTATGTCACAAGTTATTTTAGACTCATCTCCTACTTTTCCCTTCCCAGTTCTAGAACTAGCAATTTCTCTTAGGGGCCCTGGTTCATTTTCAGTGGGAAATTGTATTTGGAAACCAAGATCTGGGTGCCATTGTTGTGTTACTGCTTCCTGGCCTTTTCAGTAAACGTAACTGAAAAGAATGTGTAAATATTTAAGAAATTCTAATTTCCTACTAATACTTCTGATGTCATTCCAACTTCACAGAGTTCTTCCTTTTC